ATCCTCTTTGCTGTCATTAGATGTAACACAAAGGGCTCTTGGTGGAAGGAGTGAAGGGGGGGGGGGGTCATTGCAACTCCCGAAGTGAAGGTATACAATAATATTAACACGTACAGAGCCCATAGTGCCGTTCTAGTACACGTGTTGACACTGTAATCCTGGACGCGTATACATGAATACATTAACTCGTAATAAGTGACAACGCTTTCCAGAAACTCTCTTTTGCTCGCGTTCTCTCGACTGTCCACTGCGTTCTACCGCAAAGGAGTGAAACAGTCTGGAAAACGATGGTGACAGGGACTGACGGTCAGGCGCGTTATCGGAGCGATGTCGGTGATTCAGAGTGTGGCGATCGTTTTATAATTTCGTTTTCGCTTTCGTGTCTATTGATTTTTATTCTATTGTATCTTATATTATTTATTTATTTATTATGTGAGTGTGTGTGTGTGTGCGCGTGTGTGTGTGTGTGTGTGTGTGTGTATGTGTGTGTGTGTGTGTGTGTGTGTGTATCAGCGTATGTCTGTCTGTTTATATGTCTGTCTGTCAGTCTGTCTGTCTGTCTCTGTCTGAGTGGGATAACGGATAGGAAGAAGACGTAGAAGAAGAAGAAGAAGAAGTTGTAGAAGAAAAAGAAGAAGAAGAAAAGATAATAATAACAATAATAATAATAATAATAATAATAAGAGGAGGGCGAGGAGGAGCAGGAGGAGGAGGAGGAGGAGGAGAAGGAGGAGAAGAAGAAGAAGAAGAAGAAGAAGAAAAAAAGAAAAAGAAAAAAGAATGGGAAGAAGAAGAAGAAGAAAAAAGAAGGCCAAGGGGGTGCTATAAAAATGAAAGAAAAGAGGAAAACGGAAGAAGAAGAAAACGGATCATAAGAAAGAAATAGACGAAGAAGGAGTAGGAAGAGAAGATAGAGGAATTATATGAAAGAAAATGAGGAAGATGGAAAAGCAGAAAAGACAGAACTGACAAACTGAATGAGGTTGAGAAAGAAGAGGAAAAAGAGATGAAATGAGAAAACAAGGAATCAAAGGACGAATAAGAAGAAAGAGGAGAAAAAGATGGAAGTGGAACACCGAAAAAGAAGATAACAGAAGGATTTAGAGAAGGATAGGAGAGTGAAATTGCAGACAAGAATAACAATGAGATAAAGAATGCCTAAAAAGAGGAGAAGAGAAAAGGTGAAAGAAAGAAGGTCGAATAAAAGAATAAAAAGAGAAAAGAAAGGGGAATAAGAGATAATAGGATTAGAGAAGGTCAGTGCTTCCTTTCATTCTCGTCTTCACTGAAATTCCCAAAGAGAAGGTATGTGAGAAATTCCGATGTTAATGCTTCTTCTGTTTGTTATTATATTTTAATTACTAATATTACTTATTATCATTATCATCATTATAATTATTACTCTTATAATTGTTACTATTAGTTTTATCATTATTACTAGCGTTATTACTTTTATCATTACAATCAGCCTCATCATCATCATCAGAATTTTAATTATTATTATTATTTTCAATATCATTAATACCATCGTCACTACTATTACCACCATCACCCAATCATTCTTAGCATCATGCATTATCTAATAAATTTCGCGAAGAGAGAAGTCTCGCACGACTACTGCGTCTGATGAACTAAAAGGACTAGACGTTTCTTAAAGTATTCTCCTAATAGTATATTTGCATATTATTAGTGGACATCAATTATTCCGATGATAACGGATCTAACTGTACGTTTAGTGTTTAGTGTGCAACTGAAATCGAAGTTGTCGTTAAGATCATTATTCGCTCTGTATCTACTGAGTGTGCTTTGCAATTTGCATATGATTCGAGGTGCACTTGGAATACACCTTTGAACAGATATGTAAATAATAAACGGCATACATCCCCCTCCCCTACCGCGCAAGAACACCTGAGGAGGAAGCTGGAGTGTCTTTGTCAAATATTCTGCCTAATATCAAAAGGAATTATGCATCTTGAATCATCTTCGCGCTGCCGGAATGTAGATATAAGATCTTGCCTCCGCTGCTATTTCCAGATTCTTAAATATTTAGCGTCTAAAAGTATAAGAGGCGTTAAACAATGAAACAGATTCCGAACTTGAAGAAGAAGGTTATGTATAAACTCGTGGCTCCCGCGGAATCAACTCACAGGGACACCTCTCGACGAAACATTATCATTAAAAATGAGAGAACATAGTAATCACTGGAAAGAGAAGAGGGGAGGGGGGATAAGCGAGATTAAGAAAGGAGGAGGAGGAAGGGAAGGGAAGGACAAACACGAAAGAGCAAGAAGAAGAGGAAAGATACAGGGAGGGAGGGGGGCAGGAAGGGTGAGAGAGAGAGGGAGATATAGATAGATAGATAGATAGAGAGAGAGAGAGAGATCTTCGCCTCTGATTACAGCCTAAAATCTCTTGCGTGTAATGCCTATTCAAATGTAGCCTCACGTTCACATTCTATATAGCAAGTTCTCCCCGACTGAAATGCACAGAAACACATTAC